TTCACCAGCAGCTGACTTGGGGACACCTGGGGTAGAGCAGCTGGGGTGCTGCCGCGTTGGTCCCCGCAGCACTGAGGTGTGGCGCTGCGGGGACCTACCCTGCAGCACCGCAGCTGCTCTGTCCCAGGCATCCAAATTCAGCCGCTGTTGAAGCTGTTGAAACTGATCAGGGGCTGATTCCAGGAAGCCCAGGGCAGAGCAACTCTGCCTCGGGCTTCCTGTAGTCAGCCACTGGTCAGTTTCAGCAGCGGCTGAATCTGAACCCGCAGCACTGAGGTGTGGCGCTGCGGGGACCTACCCTGCAGCACCGCAGCTGCTCTGTCCCAGGCATCCAAATTCAGCCGCTGTTGAAGCTGTTGAAACTGATCAGGGGCTGATTCCAGGAAGCCCAGGGCAGAGCAACTCTGCCTCGGGCTTCCTGTAGTCAGCCACTGGTCAGTTTCAGCAGCGGCTGAATCTGAACGCCAGTTCCGACTTACATACAAATTCAACTTAAGAACAAACCTACAGTCCCTATGTTGTATGTAACTCGGGGATTGCCTGTAATTACAATGGTATCTGTGGGATTACTCATCTGAGTAAGTGCTACAATTTGGATCTTTGCTTCTTAGCCTTCTTATACTTTATGTGCAGTTAAGTATATGGTTTCTGTACTGTACGAGATGATATGTTATGCCTTCAATGGCATTATGCAGTAGCTATACAAACAGTAAACACCTTGCCTCTTATTCAAATTTGAATGATTGAGAGGAGAAAGTGATATTGAGAGATACTGCTGGTTTTGTTGGTGGCTTTGAAATGGATGAATGCCAGAATGCTTTTCTCCACCGTGGGAAACATTAGAAAAATGCATTATGGAGGTACTATTATGCCAACGAAAAAATGCATATTTCCCTCTGTTTTAACAGCAAAATAAAGACTCTGGATTTCAGGAAGGCAGACTTTAGCGAAGTCAGGAAGTTGGTAGGAAGATAGTATGGGAAGCATGACTAAGAGAAAAAGCAATTTAAGACAGTTGGCAGTTTTCCAAAGACATTATTAAGGGCATAAGAGCAAACAATTCCACTGTGTAGGAAAGATAGAAAGTATGGCAAGAAACTATCCTGGCTTAACCAGGTGATCTTGATGATCTAAAAACTAAAATGGAGTCCTACAAAAAATGGAAAATAGATCAAATTACAAAGAATGAATATAAACAACACAAGTACGTGGGGCAAAATTAGAAAGGTGAAGACACAAAATGAGCTCAAACTACAAATATATTAGAAGTAAGAGGAAGACCCAGTACAGAGTAGAACTGTTACTTAATGAAAAGGGAAAAACAATAATAGAAAATGTGGAAATGACTGATGTTCTTAATGACATCTTTGTTTCGGTTTTCACCAGGAAGGTTAGTGGTGATTGAACACCTAGCATAGCATGCTAGAGAAAATGATGTAGGTTCAGAAGTTAAAATAGGGAAATAAAAGGTTAAAAGTTACCTAGTCAAGTTAGATGTCTTCAGGTCACCAGGGTCTGATGACATGCATCCTAGATTACTTATGGAGGTGATTGAGCCACTAGCTGTCATCTTTGAAAAGTCTTGGAAGATGGGAGATTCCAGAAGACTGGAAAAGGGCAAATATAGTGCCCATCTATGAAAAGGGAAATAAGAACAACCCAGGAAACCTCAGACCAGTCAGCTTAACTGCTATGCCTGGAAACATAATGGAGCAAATAATTAAGGAATCCATTTGTAAACATCTGGAAGATAATCAGGGCTCGACAAAGTATTGATTTCAGCCGGGTGCCCCATTCATTTGCGGTGTGCACATATGCAATGCGGGTCTTGCACAGTGCGGGGCGGGCGAACGGCTTTCACCGCCATTCGTCAAGCCCTGGTGATAAGTAACAGTCAGCATGGCTTTGTAAAGAACAAATCTTGTCAAACCAACCTGATAGCTTTCTTTGATAAGATACAAGCCTTGTGGATAAGGGGGAAGCAGCAGATGTGGTATATCTAGACTTTAGTAAAGCAGTTGATATAGTCTCGCATGACTGTCTCATTAACAAACTAGGAAAATACAAACTAGGAAAATACAACCTAGACAGCTAAAATAAGGTGGGTGCATAACTAAGGTGGGTTGGATAACTATTGTCAGCGAGTAGTTATTAATGGTTCACAGTCATGCTGGAAAGGGCATAATGAGGGGGGTTCCGTAGGAATCAGTTTTGGGACCAATTCTGTTCTATATCTTCAGCAATGATTTAGATCAGGATTGGGAAACACTTTTTTGGGTCGGGGGCTGCTTTTTGCAGATCCCTTTCTGCAGTACTCCCCCCTAGGCAGTCACTTCCCATTTTAGATATGTGAAAATAATTATTCCTTCCAAAGTGGAGCGCTTGGCATTTGTCCGTACTGAACATCATCCTATTTATCTCAGACCATTTCTCCAGTTTGTGCAGATCATGTTGAATTATAATCCTATCCTCCCCAAAGCACTTGCAACTTCTCTCAGTTTGGTATTGTCCACAAACTTTATAAGCATGCGTTCTACGCCATTACGTAAATCAGGGGTGGGGAACCAAAGGCCCAGGGGCCAGATGAGGCTCCCAACTTGCTGGATTCAACCCCCAAGGCTCAAGGCTCCTCCCCCAAGCATCGGGGAGCCCACGCTGGCACTCCAGCTCCCTGCTACCTCCCCATAGGGCTGGAGCTCAAAAAATCCACTAGCCTGGGCCCCATTAGGCTCCGGTATATGAGGGCAGGGGTGGCCAACCCGTGGCTCTTCAAAGAAAAAATTGCGGCAGCTGCACCCACGGCTCGCGGGTCTTAAGGGGGCAGTGTGGCGAAGCGAAAGCAAGGGTTCCGTGAAGAGCTGACGCTCCCCCATCCCCTCTGAAAGACACAGAGCTGGAGTCGTGGTGTCCCGTGCAGACTTCAAAATGGCCACCTTTAAAGGGCAATGCCGGCTCTGCTCTTAAAAGGGCAAACCGTTGTGTTTTTTTCTTAACAACATTTTCCTTCAGCTTTTTGCGCTGTAACGGGTTAGCCACCCCTGTATGAGGGGAATGTGGGGACTATCTTTCTCCTTCTCAGTCAGGGGGCCATGTCAGTGAGAGTTGGGGCTTTTTTTCCTTCTCATTTGTGTGCGGTCCGACTGATTTTTGTTGATACAGCGGCAGCAGCGCAGAGTGGCACGGAGCTCCTCTGGAGTGGGGCCGGAGCACACTGGCTGCTGGTCCCACCCCGGGGACTATAGAATAGTTGACTATCTGATAAGAATTCATGAGGTTACTTGACTATTCAATTAATCTATATTTAACATCCATAAAAGACAATGAGAAGTAATTCTTTCAGTCTACTTTGTGCTGATTAGCCTCAATTGGAATATTAATCCGGGCACCACATTTCAAGAAAGATGTGGAGAAATAGGAGAGGATCCAAAGAAGAGAAGAATAAAAGTCTAGAAGACATGATCTATGAGGGAAGAATGAAAGAATTGGGCTTGTTTAGTTTGGAAAAGATAAGACTCAGAGGGGACACAATAACAGTTTTCAAGTACCTAAAGGGGTGTTGCAAGGAGGAACCATAAAAATGTTCTCCTTGACCTCTGATGATAGGACAAGAAGCAATGGGCTTAAACTGCAGCAAGGGAGGTTTAGGTTGGACATTAAGGTGTCAGGGTGGCTAAACACTGGAATAAATTGCCTTGTGGGAAACACAGTATTGGTACATCCTTCCCTGTCCCCTAGGATCATTTCCTGGAGTCTAAGACAGTTGGCCTTCTTGGTGTTGCTCCCATCTATCACAGTCCTCTCTTATTTTGCAGCAAGCAGGAGAGCCAGGTTGGGCTGCGCACAGGGCGCTAGTCCTGAAAGACCTGGGTTTTATCCGCCCTCCCCCGGATTGCCTGTGGGATTTCAGGTCAGGGCTTTATATGTCTACGCCGTATTCCACTTTCAAGAGAGGAATGTAAATGCAGTTGAGTGAAATTGCAAATGAAGCGCAGATTTGAATTTCCTGCACTTTATTTGCATAATCGTGTCAAGCCACTTTTTCGAAATACCTGTTTTTAAAAAAAGCTGTCTAGATGCGGTTATTTCCAAAGAAAATCCTTCTTTCAAAATTATCCTTAAACCTCATTTTATAAGGATATAGGGTATTTTGAAATAGCGCCCGGATGTGATTATGGAAATGAAGCATAGGAAATTCAAATTCGCACTTCATTTGCAATTTTGCTCAGCTGCATTTGCATTCCTCTCTTGAAAGAGGAATGCAGTGTAGACATATCCTGATTCTTAATTACAAACAAATTGTGTTTCTTCTAATGTTAATGTGCCACTGCATTGAGCTGGTATGGCTTTTCTGGACTCAGTACTGTCTACAATGTTATGCCTGTGTACAGCACAAAGCTTTTTTTTTGTGTGTGCAAAAAGTACTACTGGTTCATAGTGATGATGCATTTCTGAGAGAGCTCTTGATGGTGCACAGGTGTTTGAACAGTGATCCAGCAATCAATTTTAAACTATTGTACAGGGATCATTACTCTTTCTCAGTACAAATTAAGGATGTTAAGGACTAGTCGACTATCCGATAAGTAAATGCTAAGGACTAGTCGCTTCCTCCTCCCCCTTCTTCCTTTATCAGATCGAGGCAGCAAAGTGGGGGGAACAGAGGGTACTTCAAAGTGGAAGCACTGTGGGGAGCCCGGGGTCAGCTGAGGAGTCCCCCGGGCTGTTGTGCATTTCAAAGCGGAAGCGCCCACATGGAGTCCAGAGTCAGTGGGACTTCCTGCTGGCCCCGGGCTGCACATGGAGTTCTAACTTTGTTGCACAAGAGCCCCTACTGGAGCTCTTGTACATTTCAAAGGAGGACTATGGAAGTGCCTATTGACTAGTCGAGTAATCGATGGAAATTCCATCGACTACTTGTCTAGTAAATGAATCAATATTTAAGATCCTTAGTACAAATGTGTGCATGTGAATTTCTAAACAGCAGGGCTTGACAAACGGTGGCAAAATCTGCTCACCAGCCCCGCACTGCACATGCTCAAGACCCGCATTGCGCATGCCGCTAATGAACGGGGCAATCGGCTAAAATCTACTCGCCATGGGCAAGTAGATTCAATGATTTGTCGAGCCCTGCTAATCAGTCTCCGTGGACCATGTACTCTTCTATGGCAAGTTGTTTCCATTCATCAGTAAAATTGCTTGCAGCAAGTGTTGTTTGATCATATTTATTATATGTAATATTATATATAAAAATTAACATCCTCTAGTCCCATCCTGCAAACAAGCAACTGAACAGAGGGACTATTCACATGAGTAAAAGTATTCACAAAAGGAAGTGTTTAATTATTGCCCATAGACAATACTACAAATATTAAATAGGTATAAAGTGATAAACTTAAGACTTTTGAGAACCATAACTTTGAATTTTCTATTTTTTGTTTGTTTAAAGTCTTCACTATAGGTTTTTTACATTGATTTAAATAAAGTTTCAACAAGCTTTATGAGGTAAAAATGCCTTTTAACAGTACATAAGTATTTTATACATATACGATGAGATTAATATGTTGTTTGTAGTGCTTCCAGTAATATAACATTTTCTTAAAAGTATGTGCTGTGAGTTCATTTACATGTGTGAGTGTTTGTTTAAAGTCTTCACTATAGGTTTTTTACATTGATTTAAATAAAGTTTCAACAAGCTTTATGAGGTAAAAATGCCTTTTAACAGTACATAAGTATTTTATACATATACGATGAGATTAATATGTTGTTTGTAGTGCTTCCAGTAATATAACATTTTCTTAAAAGTATGTGCTGTGAGTTCATTTACATGTGTGAGCTTGTACACAGTCTTATATCTAATTTTATTTGCTGGATTTTTAATGGGTGGGTGGGTGGGGGGGTGATTTGGTGGTTGTTTTTGTGTGTGTGTGTGGATTAGTTTGACTTTTCATGACTTATCTAAACTGTTTTTCTGTAAATCTTTGCTGAGAATGTAGTCTTAACCCATTATTAATATTTTCTTGGACTTGGTATTTGTAGTGATTGTTGGTGCCAAGGATTGCCAAGTGGAAAGCGTGGATGACGTGATGAGCCTTTTAGAAAGTGGGAATGCAGCTCGTCACACAGGTACTACTCAAATGAATGAGCACTCCAGCCGGTCTCATGCTATATTTACCATCAGTATTTGTCAGCAACAACCTGCACAGTCTCTAAAAAATGTAGATGCTGCACAAGATTCATCTCTTAGATCAGGCCAGATCATTGCTTCTAAGTTCCACTTTGTGGACTTGGCAGGATCAGAAAGAGTGACAAAAACAGGGAACACTGGTGAACGGTTCAAGGAATCAATTCAGATCAATTGTGGCTTGTTGGCTTTGGGAAATGTGATAAGTGCTCTTGGAGACCCAAAGAGAAAAAGTGTACATATCCCATATAGGGATGCTAAAATTACTCGTATTCTGAAAGACTCCTTAGGAGGAAATGCCAAGACTGTCATGATAACATGTATAAATCCATCCTCATCTGACTTTGATGAGTCTTTAAATTCCCTAAAATATGCTAACAGAGCCAAGAATATTAGAAATAAACCAGTCGTAAACTATAACCCTGACCGGGACCGGATTGATGAAATGGAACTTGAAATCAAATTGCTCAGGGAAGCTTTGCAGAATCAGCAGGCTAGTATAATGAGCCGTGCTAGCCAGGGATCACAGGACTTGAATGAAGATAGGACTCGAATTCGTTCTCTTGAAGACCAGCTTTCCAAGCTTCAGATGGAGTGTTTCAACTACAGAAATTGCATAGAGGAAGCTTTTCCCTTCCTACTTGAACTAAATGACAATATCAGCCTAACAAAGAGTCAACAAGACAAGCTGCAGGATTGGATCAGCATAGCACAGGAGCTAAGGAAGACAACTTCAATCATGCCACGAACTGATAGTGGAATTGGAAGCGACCAAGAGGAGCCACATCATATCACAATTCTTCAGTTGAAGAGAGAATTAAAAAAATGCCAGGTATTAAACTATCACTTGATAATTTAACTACTAGTACATAAAAGGGTAGCCCACCAGTAGAATTCACATTAGACTTTGAAAGCTTACCGATCCTTATGCCTATCATATGCATTTTATGTAGGGCTTGATCTAGTTAAATAACAGCAGCATTGCAAAATGCTGTTGTCCTGCTCACCTGGGGATGAATTACTCATTTTGATAGGTGATTAAAACATTAATCATCATTGTGGTAGAGGTGAGCAAATAGGTTTTATGCTTGGGCTAGTAAATTTTCATTACAGCTTTAAGGAGGTTGAATTACAGTATGATGATGTCTCATCTGTTAGTTATTTCCTATAAAGTGATAATGGAATCTATCAAATTAACTGATAAATCTCGTTTAATATTTCACCAGTATAATTCAGTGTAACACAGCCACAGAGAAGTTGGTAATATAGGTCTGATGCCAAGTTGTATCTAATCTACAAATGTCATTGTGGAGCCTTTGGCTATTATCTTTGAAAAGTCGTGGAGATCGGGAGAAATCCCGGATGACTGGAAAAAGGCAAATGTAGTGCCCATCTTCAAAAAAGGGAAGAAGGATGATCCAGGGAACTATAGGCCGGTCAGTCTTACCTCGGTTCCTGGAAAAATCATGGAAGGGATCCTTAAGGAATCCATATTGAGGCACTTGGATGAGAGGAAAGTGATTAGGAATAGTCAGCATGGATTCACAAAGGGCAAGTCGTGCCTGACCAATCTGATTAGCTTCTATGATGAGGTAACTGGCTCGGTGGACATGGGGAAGTCAGTGGATGTGACTTGTCTTTAGCAAGGCTTTTGATACGGTCTCCCACAATATTCTTGCCAGTAAGGTAAGGGATTGTGGATTGGATAAATGGACGGTAAGATGGATAGAAAGATGGCTAGAAGGCCGGGTCCAGCGGGTAGTGATCAATGGCTTGATGTCAGGATGGCGGTCGGTTTCTAGCGGAGTGCCCCAAGGTTCGGTTCTAGGACCGGTTTTGTTCAATATCTTTATTAATGATCTGGATGAGGGGATGGATTGCACCCTCAGCAAGTTTGCGGATGACACTAAGCTGTGGGGAGAGGTAGATACGCTTAAGGGCAGAGATAGGGTACAGAATGACTTAGACAAATTGGAGGATTGGGCCACAAGAAATCTGATGAGGTTCAACAAGGACAAGTGTAAAGTCCTGCACTTGGGACGGAAGAATCCCAAGCATAGTTACAAGCTGGGGACCAACCGGTTAAGTAGTAGTTCTGCAGAAAAGGACCTGGGGGTTACAGTGGATGAGAAGCTAGATATGAGTCAACAGTGTGCCCTTGTAGCCAAGAAGGCTAATGGCATATTAGGTTGCATTAAGAGGAGCATTGCCAGCAGATCCAGAGATGTCATCATTCCCCTTTATTCGGCTTTGGTGAGGCCGCATCTGGAGTATTGTGTCCAGTTCTGGGCCCCCCACTACAAAAAGGATGTGGATGCATTGGAGGGGGGCCAGCGGAGGGCAACCCAAATGATTAGGGGGCTGGAGCATATGACTTATGAGGAGAGGCTGAGGGACTTGGCTCTGTTTAGTCTGCAGAAG